GAGATACATCTTTTGCTCTGATTTTGTTACTCCAGTAGATCTGGTGATTCCATCCTCTGTTAAATTGTGTCATTTCTGAATAAAAAGGAAATCAAAGCAAGGCAAAACAAGCCAAGGAAAGGGATAAGAATCCAGTACAGATCTTCCAAATTTTTGACGGAATTTATTCACCTTTCATTAGCAGATATAGTCTGTCAAAGCCTGGCTTCTCTCTTCATTTATCCATGCTACAGGTTACTCTTGCAGTTCCATAGACATAATGTAGAAATATTTCAGTGTTAACTTACAATTATATCACCACTAAAGTAATCTACAAGCTAAAGTTTTTCTCATAGTCCTTGTTAGTATAGGAGACCTTTCAGAATGGAAATGAGGCACTGCTAAGCACATGTGTCTAGCAGCACATGCATCCCTAGATCAGCTCTGTTGAACTGACTGGGAAGCTAATTCCAAAGTCCCTCTAACATGATACTCCAGCCTGAGCAGGTCAGTGATTAGCCAGCCAGGTCTTTGTACCTTGAAGGACATGAAAACCACATCATAGTTTACTCTTCCTTTGCAGAGGCACTAAGAGATGGCAGAGTTAAACATTTCAACAGCCATCGTTTTAAACTCAGTAAAGCAAATGAGCCAAAGCATTCCAACATCAGTGCTAATGCTTTTAAAATACAGTTTGTTTTTTGTTTTTACATCAGAAAGCTCATACTTACATGGACATCCTGCTAAAAGGGAGAGACTGCAGACATATTTCCAGGGTAATCTAACTTGTAGTAGAGGCTGCTAGGGATTAAGTGACTGGATGTTAAGGATGTTGACACTCTGATATATGGCTCTCTGCTTCTACTTTAACATCTTACAGCCATCGCACATGTTCAGTGTTGTTTGGGCTGTGGTGTTTCAACATAACATGAAGCAGGAATTACAGCAACATATAATTTACAATGGAGAGTCTACACTTTACTTTCACATATAGAACACATAGAGAATTCTTCCTTTTAAAGTAAATTCTCCTTGTTCATTCATCACACACCACTAATCACTACCACTCAGGCGTCTTAAAAAAAATGATGTACCATGTATCTGAAAAACTGACAGGGCAAACGACTGAAATTGCACACATCTGTACAAATTGTGAAGAAACTGCAGGACTCTTAAACAAACAATAATAATGGCAGTCACATTTTTTTTCTAAAAATGGAATCATTCCCCTGCCATTTACAACAGTTTAGTATTTATGCACCTTCACAATTCTTCGAACCACTCTTCTTGAGTTGTTCAAGGCCTAGACTGTGGTTCTGTCTCTTTGGATAGATCAACAACTAGACAAGAACATAACGAAATAACATCCTAGCTAACTCTTTGTGCTCGGCAGGATAATAGCACTAAGGAATCTTCCCTTTGCTAACAAGGTTACATTCTGCTTCAGAAAGATTTTCATGCATATGGATGTCTGATTGCACTTACTCTGCACTGAGCTTACTCTCCATTATCTAATTAAATAATATCTAATGCCCTGAAGTGAATTAGACAATTATTTTCCATTCTTAGCTATTAAATAGGAAATACTATGGTGTTGAAACTTGTGTTAATGTTTATGATTACCTTGGTAATGGAATTATTTGGTATCTTCTTCAAGTTGCTGATATGCATTGGCTGTTCTTTGTCCATTATAGAGTTTTCCTCCTCTGGGCTACAGTGTCAACTCTCATGTTCCCAGTTTCTCTGCAGCAGACTGGACATAAAGTCTATGTAAACTCCACTACCATTCAGATGAAAACACAAGAAAACAGTCAGTCTTCTAAAACAAAGAACTTCTTCCAGAGCATAAAGCCTTTCAGCTGAAATTCATGTGGTAAGATATAGGCAGCTCATAGTTTTTCCCACTCCTGCCTCAAGTAGGCATTGTGCTTTGCCCTTGTAGAGACATGCATCTTCATTCACGTGGGGTGCTGACATCCTATTTTCATAAGATAGCTGCAGTGCAGGTAAATTACTGTCACAGCAGTAAGGCAATTCCCTTTTCCACGCTCTTCTAATCTTCCTCTGCCTCACTTCAGCTCCTTATGCTGATTTGAAACAGTAATTCTTTCATTTTTATGCCAGCTGAGGGCCAGACTCACCAGTCTCTTAGCTTATGGTGTATCACTTCTGTGAAGCTCATGGGTTTTTTTTGTTTACACCACAAAATTCACTTTCACCTGTTAAAAGAATAACTTAGCTCCATACATGGGAACAGCCTGCATATTTCTACCATTTCTACTATTGCTGTCATTCTGGCCTGACTATTGCCAGTGGCTGTTCAAACACAAGGCAGTGATAAACCTCATATTGAAGTTAAAGTATCTTTTACAAGGAAGTGCACTATTGATAGCTTGTAACCTGCAATCACTTAAAAGGACCAGCAAAATCATATTGCACACCATGAATTGTGGTTTCAGTCAGGAAATAACAGAGTAGTTCATATTATATAATAACAAACATTTTCTGAAGAGAAACTATTGTCCTAACTTTTCTAAATAAGAAAAAATAAAATACATGAAAAACAATTTATGAGGCTTGCTAGACTCAAGGCCCTCAAGCTTTATTTAGGTGGTTGGCCTGTTGGGATTTTTCGCTTGCTATGGAGATATTTTCTTTCCTTATAGAGAGGCCAATATTGTTAATAACAAAGGATATAATGTTGATAGTAGATCTGACCTGAATATCATTGAACTAACTTTCGTTATAAGGTCAGAAATAACAGTTACCCTGTTATTAAATCCATATTCTAGCATAAATACTTTGCTAGCACTTTTCTTCATATGGCAGACAGGAGCTGGGGAGAGGCAATAGTGAGGAACAATAAAAGTGGAGTCTCATTATCCTAAAACATTGCATAAAACTTAGTTTGTTATTTTCATCTGCCATGCTGAACTATTTCCCCTAAATTCCCAAGAGCAACCAGGTGAATCAGGAAAGTATAAGAGTGAAGATTAAACAGATTTCTTTTCCTACACTTGCACTCAGATGAGGGGGAAGGGCTCCAAAAAAACAGTTATTTTAACTGCATTTTTTTAGGAAAAAACAAAAAATTGAGATGGTGCCTTTTAATTTGCTAATTAACAAGTTTTACTGTGGAGAAGACTGCCAAAATGGCTGAGATTATTTGATAAAGATTCATTAGAGAAGAAGAAAAATAGAAATTAAAGGAATGAAGATCTTAGATAATTTCGAATGTTCCACTGAAGCCAACAGAGCCAAGGATGCAATTTAGGGTATATAGTTTCCAAATTTTTGTTTCCTGTATTTTCACATATTGCCTACTAAAGCAGCCATTACAAGCAACTCGATAGGTGCTGTGGGCTGATTATATGACAAATCAAGATCAGGTGAAATAACACAGAGCATTTGCCAAGAAGTATAATTTCGGGAATTCTGAAATTATTTCTGGATTTACACTGAACAAGCGCAATTAGGGTTTGAGAGCTAGATGCTGATAATGTTGCTAACTCTCACTCTGGTTACTTACTCTATTCCAGTTATTACAGCTCTACCCACACAGATGAGACTGGTTCCATTCTGTCCTTCACTAAACACAATTTTAATCCAAACCACTTTTCTCCAAAGAGAATACCCAAAGACCTTGAATTAGGCATTTAGACTATTCAGACACTCTCTACTGTTATTTTAATATTCCTTGAATTGACAACAAAATAGCTCAGTAGCCTAATGGCTACTGAGCCTACAGAGTACCTTAGCCTCAGGCATTGTTCCGAACCAGTCATAACGACATGAATATTATGTTAAAATCTTTCATTTTTTTCAAGTAAATGTCTTAACAAGAGACTGCCAATCAATCTAAATGCTAACCTCCTCAATCTGTTTCTGGTGATGTCTCGCATTAATTGGTTATTTATCCATCCAGTGAGTAAATCACAGTTTAGCTCAGTGGTCAGGGTATTGTATAAGAAACATGAAAGTGGCTTCTCATCCTCTTTCACTGATAAAGTCGTTAATGCAACTGAAACAGCAATGACTTAAGAGCACTTTTACTAGGACATCTTAACCAGATGGCTCACGTTTTCTGCTATGAGTAAGACACCAGGATTCAGTCTTCACTAGGAGAAAAGAGGGAATATCTCCCACACTGAATCAATAAATGATCAATACTTAAAACAGACTAAGCATGGAGAAAGAAGTAGGATAAAAATGAGATAAAAATGGAAAATGACCCTGTCTCAGGTCAAATAGACAGTAGGTTAAAAGTGGAATTAAAATTCAACCTTCTGTCAACCAAACACAGGCTAAGTGACTACAAAGCCTTGCCTGCCCTCACTTCTTTTGCTGCTAGTTTTCCTACCTTGTCAGACACATTCATCAAGCCACTTCATGTCACCTGGCTTTAGAGCCCAAACATGCATTGACAAATTGTCCCTAAGCCCCATTTCTGGAGATATTTCTTCCTCTTAATCTGGGATAGGTTTTGAGATATCTGAGGCGAAACATCCCGAAACATCCCAAAATTGCAGTTTGGCTAAAAGAGTGGCCTATAGTGGTGAAGCTGAACTTGGATGGCTTTATTTCAGATGCCTGAACTACACAAGAGGAACCTCTATAATCCAGCTGCCCTGTCCACGTACAACACCTGTTTACCCTGCAGAGATATCATAATAGTCACTGCATGTTGCAAAATCTTCAGAAAAGGTATCAAATACGCACTATTTTCACCACTTTGCAATCAGATTCAAATTAATTTATAAGCTGCTATAATTCTTCAATTCTTAAGAAATCCATCCTAAAATTTTAGAGAAGTTTCAGTTAACAAGGACTAAGTTCCAGCAACACAACAACCATCTTCAACAGCTGGCTTTTTAATGGCATCCAAGACAAAGAATAGAAAATGTTTCAGCAATGCTGACCAAAGAGATGTGCCATCTCTTCATGAATAAGAGAAGGGGAAAAGCACTCCACAACTGAGCATACTCACCAGCTGGAAGACATGGAGAGGCATCAGGCAGGTGCAAAAAAAAGCCATTTTGGGGCTCTAGCTGGTTTTCTCTGTATTCCAAAGGACAAACATCCGAAGAGCTTTCTGTGAAAAGAAACGAATCTAGACTTAGTCCAGAAGTGACTAGTCAATTAAAAAGGACAGTATCCAAACTCACATTTTTAAGGATTAGGCCCATCACACATACACACTGTTTTTCAATATTGTTCTCTGCAATAAAAACTGAGATTGTTTTCTGAACAGGATGCCAGCTGCTTCCTGTTCATGCTACTAATACATAACACTGCTATTGTATCACATCAAGGGATCCTCACTCTGATCATCAGCCAGCAGAACAAATGCCCTATATTAAGTAAATCCTCCTAAAAATCTACAGAATCGATTGGTGTAATTCAGCCTAGTCACACTGACTTCAGCAACATTTTATTCCTGCTAAAGTTCTAACCTGTTTTGTAATTTATCTTTCACATGATTAATTAATTGCTGTGCACTCATACATAGGAAATTCAGTTCTACAGGTTATGCAGGGATCACATAGTTAGTAACACTTACGTATTATGAACTCTCAGGTACACTTGCAATGAAAAGGTACAAAAACAGCAGAAACCTTCCTGTGGCATGAGCTGTCTTGCTCTCCTTTGCCATAAAGAAGCAGTCTCTGACCTTCTGCAGCTCTTACTGTGAACATTCCCTTCCTTCCCAAGACACGATCTTCCCCAAGAAGCCACAGCCTCATTCCAAGTAACTCAAAACTGCTGTTACCATGGTTAATATTTCTGACTTGATTGGCACCACTAGTAATTGAACTGCAGTCTCTCGAGCACAGCAAGCTCTATTCATTAGCCCCTATTGTGTTAGGACACTGCATCAACCCACATTATTTTTCTGTGTAAAGGGGGAAAAATCAGCCATGAATACAAAGTTATGTTGCCACACAAAATTATGCAGTTTTGCTGTTGGATTAATTTTATGAAATTAAATAAAATATTGCAAATAATTTTTATTTATGTCAATAACAGTGCAATTTGAGAAAAAGCACCTTCGTTTTGACTGCATAATATTATGTACATCTAAAACCCAAAATAGTTTAGTATCAGCTTTATAAGAAGACTTTTGGTTTCGTCACATCTTAACAAAATCTTTGCAGTCTTCTGTCTTCTTTTCTCCCACTTTATATAGAGTTACACTTCATATGAATTTGCTGATTTGAGTCTATATGAGACAGAATGCTGTATAAGTAATGAAAAGAACAATATACCAGAAGCTTTCCTTCTATTAAGGAAACAGAACAGATAAGCTTTAAAAAGCAGCTTTCAACTGCCTATTCAGACCAAGACTTTATGTATTCTATGTATTTTAGTAGATTTTATAGATGACACTATGGTGTATATATAAAGAAATTAGACCAATTATTTCATAAGTCCTGACAATTTTTAGCTGACAGTTTAATAGAAGTAGACACAATATGAGAAATATTTTGTATTCTGATCTCATAAAAATTTCCATAAATTAATAACCTCCAACATCAAGCCCATACCTGCAAGTTGCTCCAGAGTTATCCTTCTGTTCATCCTGCTGCATTTTTACTGTAATAAAGACCCTCTTCGCTTTGTCTTTGTAAAAGTTTTCAAGTTTTGTCTGTTTTATTCCTTGTTCCTTTCTTCCTTAGACAGGACCATGAGAGATGTCCGAGAAATATTCATCACATAGATTCTTTCCCATGGGGAAAAAGGAAAAAAAAAACAGAACAGAGTAAGAAAAATATTAGTGGTAGAGGAAAAAGTTTTGTTTTACTCCATCTGCCTGCCTTGGCATTGTGAGATGGATCTTGGAAGACTGAAGAGTTTGAAGGGCTTTAGAAATGTGAGTTAGAGAAAGGTGGATGCAAGAAAGCGCAAGAGACAATGTCAGATACTGACACTGGACAAACTGCTGCTCATCATAGCTTGTTATTAAGTGGAGTAAGATATTCTTCACACTCTCAATGCCAAAATTCTCACCTTTCCACAATTTACACTCTCTGTTGAAAAAGCAGTAATTGATTCCCAATTTTTTCAGTTTCCAGCCTCACCTGAGTCCACTGTATAATGTAGAGACAAATAAGTTTACAAGTACAAGTCACACAAAACCACACATGTTCTAGCAGAGATGCAGTCATACAACACAAGAGTGCAAAAGATCAGCACTGAGAGATTTGCCTCTCCAAGGTCACGGGATGGATGGCCCTGTCAGTGGTTCTGACTTGTTTCAGCTCTCTCTGAATGTTCAATGCTTGGAACATCAGAAAAATCTAGTTGTGTCCCATTTTACACAAATGACTAGAGAAGCACACAAAATTGGTGGCACTGTATATTTAGATCTTTTTCCATACCATATAGATAATAACACTTATCTTTCCCTTTATCATTGTAAAGCTTACTTTGTATTGCAAGGTACTTAGTTGATAAGACCAGCAGTTGCCAAAAGAAAATTCATGGCACTGTGAAAATTCCTTATCTGGTGCATGCCTGCTGCTGGAACTGCATATGAGGAGCACTAAGAGTGACAAATAGACTGGGAAATGCAGTATTAACTGAACCTGCTTCATTCTGAGTGAGTGATTCTCTGATGCCTAGTTGAGTCAAGCTAGCAAGGTTCTGAGGACACACACTATTTCCCCCTTCCCCACATCAAGTTTAGATTAGATGGTCCAATAGATTTAAAGTCATTAGAGAGAGGACTGGCAGCAGAAAATAACAAAATAGTCATTTCTCAAGAAAAAATGGTTAAAACTAATTATTGATCATCTGTCTCATCCAGCAGTCTCTGTCCATGCCATTCAATAACCAAAGTAGGCATCCTTTGGAAAACCATTATATGTAACAGCTTTCATAGCACACATGCCAATGGATATGTCTGCAGGAATCAGATCAAGGCCTGTGCCTCTCACAATACTAATGCATTCACACTTTTGATTGCCTCATTTCCCAAATATAAGTTGTTTTAAGTGTAGTCTTCCATTAATTTATCTTGGAGTGTGCCTAGTCTATATAGCTACATGCCTTCTTATATTTAGTCTGCATTTTTAGGTTAAACTGGTAACTTGATGCACCAGCCCACACTCAATACCAACAGTCATGTGCTCCCAGAGCACAGGCATACGTGTTCCTGCAGCTTTCTGAGTGCTTTCTTCACTTCTCCAGGGCTCTATTAGGAAGAGCATTGCCAGCAGGTAGAAGGAGATGATCCTGCCCCTCAACTCAGCCCTGGTGAGGCCACACCAGGAGTGCTTTGTCCAGTTCTGGGCTCCTCAGTGCAAGTGAGACATGGAGCCCCTGTATCAGATCCAGTGGAGGCTACAAAGATGATTACTTGACAGGAGTATATCTTATGAGGAAAGGCTGAGGGACCTGGGTATGTAGACTCAAGAAGATGTGACTGAGAGTGGATCATACCAGTGTCTATAAGTATATGAAGGGAGGAAGGCAGAAGGATGAAGTCAGGCTCTGCTCAGTGGTGCTGGGAAGAGGACAAGAGGCAATGGGCAGAAACTGATGCACAGGAGGTTCCACCTCAGTATGAGGAAGAACTCTATTGTGTAAGGAACCATGCACTAGAACAGGTTGCCCGGAGGGGTTGTGAAGTCTTCCTCAGTGGACATATTTAAGAACTATCTGGACGCAATCCTGTGCAATGTGCTCCAGGATAACCCTGTTAAGCAGGGAGGTTGGACCAGATGCCCTGCTGTTGTCCCTTCCAACCTTACCTAGTCTGCAATTTCTGCTCTTCTTCACAGTCTCATCACCACGATGAGGGATTTGTAGTATTAAGTAGCCTCACAAATGGTCATTTTTGGCGTGCATTAACTATACACCCTTCTGTTTCACAATTTACAGTCCTCTTCAAGATCCTGCTGGACCACTGCAAGAAAATCTCATGTATGAGCAGACTGGTTATTTTCATGCCCGTCAGCTTTTGTTCTTTTTGTTGGCCAACATGCCTGCTACATAAATAATCATGGTTTAAGAATAGAGCTAAGTTCTATTTCTCTGTTTGACATGCTGAACTAACTGCAAATATTCTCAGCTGAGCTTTTTAGAGCAGTTTGTAAACAGCACAAAAACCAGATGTGACTCAAAGGACACTCTCATGTAAATATAAAAAGTCATAATTCAAAGTAAAATGTTTAGTCTCAGTAATTCATACCAATTTGAACTTTCCAATTCAATGACAACAACCCTGACCTGAAAAATACTACTGTGTAAATTTGCATAAAATTGAGTACATTACATTTGTATAAAACTGAGTCTCAAAATCATAGTCACATTATAACAATAGCAGTGGACTTTTCCCTGGAGCCCAGTACATACACACAGATTGTCTAGAGTTCCTGAAGAATGTAGATGCATAGGCACTACTGAAAGTCGGTGGGATTTCTATGGCTAAATCCCTAAGACATGTTAGAATCAGTCCCTTGAAATTACTAATTCAGGTACTATATACAGCTATTCATTTCTATATTTTGATATAGATAAAACAATAGGCTTCATTTGGACTGGTCCTGAATCACACCTGCTTACATACCTTTACAGTGAGGTAACACATGTTGGTAAAGTCAGCTCTAACGGGAGAGAGAGCATCTGAGTCTGGCTGTGGCTGTTTATTATCTTTGCTTCTATTCTCTTGGTTTTCTCTTTACCTCCAGCATTTCCCATTCTGGAGATAATTTTTTCATGTGTGTTTTTATATGCACAGCGTTCTTCTTGGCCACACAGTTTTCTCTCTGCATCACCAGGCTGAATTCAGAAGGAACTAGTGACTTAGCTGCTTCCTTCTCCAAGTTGCTTTTATGATCATAACAGCATTTGTGTTAACTCCTTCTTGTTTTCTGATAGAGCTGAAGAGAAATTAAATGGTTTTTTAGCCAGACACTAAGGAAGTTTTTGGAGTTAGAAGTATGTCTGTGGTACCAGAATACTGTCAGGGACAAAAGAGACAGTCTCACACAACTCCTATAACCCTCCACCCATACCAACCCAGATTTACTCTCCCTCACTTTCCCAAATGTGTGTAAGTGGGATTCTATCCCGGACAGTCTTGCAGAGCCCACTAATCAGCAGCATTCATTACATTAGAACACTTCTATCCATTACAGCACAAATTCCATCAGTGAAGGAGCAAATCATTCGTGTAACACGAGGCAATATTGTGCCTGCATCATGGAAAGGGAGTGTTCCTTGAGCAAACATCAAGTGCTGGGGAGAAACCCCCAGCAGGAGACTGCACATGAGGTCTTGTCCCTGTGAGCCCCTGAGAGATGACAGACGTGGATACAGAGCAGTGCTGCAGATGGGCTACACAAAGAGATGTGCACTGGACAGAAGCTGCTTGGACACACTGCTCACTGCTACATATTGGATTCCAGTGAATAAAATGGTCACTGTTTTACTCCACAAATGTGAGGAGCAAGTGCAGCAGAGTCCAGGTGTATGAATGCTGTTCACTGCACTGACATTGAACCAAAGCATTTGAAACTGTTTTGTTTGAGTAGTCAAACAAACAATAAAAATAAAAGTCATTTTAGTAAAATATTATCTTAATGTTTGACCTAGAGTCCCAAAGACATAAGCCATGTGAGGATCAAATCCTCAGTGCTCAGCTCCTTCACGACTGGAAAGCAGTAAGATTTAATTATTTTATGGCTGGAAGATAAATAACAGTCCCTGTATGAAACTACAAGCAGTATTGCAAAAGATTAGCCTTATTTGGTTTTCTTTTCTTTTACACAGGGGAATACAGTTGCTGAATCATTATTAAAAATTGTTTATGTCACAGTAATGCCTTAAGCAACCCTCCAGGACAAATACTTAAAAGGATAAACCTTAAGCAATAGCTCCAGCAGAGCAAGGGAGGTTTTATTTTCCCTGAACCTGGAGCTTCTTGCACCTCAGTTGAGCTGCTCCCCAAACTGCCAGTGCCACCCATGTGGGTGACACATGAGGTGCTACTGAGCAAGTGGTACTACTTTCCTTTCTTCTGCTGTGGAAACTCAATCACCCCTCAGATCCTTAAGTCCTCAAGAGATCTGTCAAGGAAAATAAAACAAGCCTGGCATGCACCCAGCTATGATAGTCAATCTGAATAATTCCCTAGCTTTGGTATCAGGCACCATGCAGCTCCCACTCACCTCAGTAGGAGGGAACTGGCCCTGTGCATTGCCCAATTTATCAACATGATACATGAAGTCTGTCTGGAAGATAAACAAGGGGACATATTGCAGTGACATAAGAACTCTTCTCAAGTTGTGCCTCCTAGGAGATAGATTACATGATGAACATGTGCAGTATGCCTTTTCCAGCTAGTGCTTCTGAACTGAATTGTGATGTCCTTCCTGAAGAAAAACTGCATTTTATCTCACAGGTAAAGCTGGCTATCCTTTCAGGAGAAGCCTCTCAGAATTCAGTTCTCTGGTACTCGAGTGCCTAATGAGAAGAGATTCATAACCCTTTGCCTGATGAGATGTTGTGTTGTCTTTCCCTTTGTGGAGAGGTGAAGTAGTACATTTCCATTCAGAGGAAGACAAAGGAAAAGGAGCAAGCCTTATGATGTAAAATCATCGCAGTGCCTGCCAGCCTCCTACCAAAGCTGTTTGCAAAGGCAAATCCACCTCAATTCCGTGCTCCCCCTCTAATTCACCATCCTTGAGAGAGAAGAAAGAGCAGACAACACACAGTAATTTTTAAAAGGCATTAGGAGTAATATTGTGACAAATAAGTCAGCAGCATTTCAACACCTCCAAACACAGAATGGCAGAAGTGTGCCTGTCAAAGCACAGCTACAGAACAATTTCTGGACTTTCCATCCCCAGTGTAGGTGGGAAATCTCCAGGAACCTGAAAGAAACGCAAAGACAGCTTCCCTTCTCTCAGCCAAATTGATCTGGGGACCTTTTCACTTCTTATGCCTTTGAAAATTTATCCTCCAAATGTAGTGGATGTTAGAGTTATTATGAAATCTGCTACACCTGGACTGCACTATTGCTGAAAACAGATTATCTGAAGATAGTAATCTTTTAATAACATCTTTTCAAATTATCTGTTCTCCTCTTGCCATTAATATGTTGTCATATGCTCAAAATTCTTTATAAGGATTCATGCTAAGCTTGTGTCACCTGGCTGGAGAAAACAGGTTAAGCATGGGAGTTTTTAAGAAATCAATCACAAAAAAAAAATCCTCTTAAAAATAAATATATTAATATACGGGGAATATACAATCCAGATAGCTGGACTAACAAAGAGGTCGGCACTGGATATATGCTTTGACTGTGTTAAGTATTATTTTGAATGCTAGGTTCCTTGATCCAGCTTTTTACATTCACACCAGTTATTCCAAGGCTACATGAATTTGTATCTTACCTGGTCAGTCCCAGGAACAGGCAAAAGTCAGTGTTCTGAGACTCTCAACTCACATCCATTCTTTCATCAGATTGCCTACTGCTCCCTTGCAATCTTGCTCCCCTACTGCTGGGGCCTCTCTAGGCAGCACATTTGGGCTGGTGGCTGGGAGTTGCTCAGACACTGGACCAGCTGGGTGCTATCATCAGGTACAGAGCATCCAGACCTGTGCACGTGGAGTATCCTATTGCCCTAAGGCATACAATTCAACCCTTGATTTCTTAGGTCCTCAATGGTAGCCACTGGGTTACCCCAGGGGTAACAGGCCGTACGTAACAGGGCTCCAAGGAAAAAGCAAAATGTATTGGTAATGACCTATCTCTGCTCCAGCTGCATGTGTGTTATGCTACAGCCATGCAAATATGAGAAAACTAGAGACTTTTTTCTCACTAGACATCTTTCCTTGAGCAGGACCCAGCCCTCATTCAAACATAGTCAAGACCTGAACAGGATGGCGATATCCTAACTGCTTTTTTAGGGATAATTCTTGTCACATGTTCTGTCCCCATCCATCTCCAGCTATGTTCTGGTTAAATTCATTACAGGGGCCTTACTTGGCAGTTTATGTGTGGACAATCACATATCAGTGATTGAGCATACACTGTTAACTCAGGTTAGATGTAGCTTCTGTGTCCTCAGCTGCCAAGGGAGAGATGAACACAAGATACCCACTCTTGTCCTGGGCTGTCAGCACAGTCTCACTGGGGCTTGCTCCACTCAATATTAAAAAAAATTAGGTCTACTTTTTGCCCTAAATACACTCACACATGGCGCTCAGGAAAGTCTGGGTGGCATTTAACATCGTGGTTGGTAAACCAAGGCTTGGAAAGTGGTTAGAACTAGGACTGGCTAAGTTGTTGTATTTTAAAGTGTGTACCAAGACACTCCAAGAGAAGCAAAAGTAATAGGGTCTTCACATAATGGCAATAGATGTCAGAGCAGCCTAAAGGATTAATGAAACAGAAGGCAGTTTTGTCACTTTGATACTCAGCTTCCATGCAGCCTTTTAAATCAGCTTCCTCAAAATCCAAAAACACTCCCCTCTGCACAGAACCACAACATATACAAAAAGGAATATGCAATGCAATTTGGAGAGACAATATTAGGTTGGAAAATGTTGGACTCTTTCTCTCACAGACACAATCAGTACCAGTTTTGTGTGTCTGTCTACCTGCACGAAGGAAATAATTGCCAGATTACAGCATTCTGCAGTAATGATCATTAACTGCAGTAGCAATATTGCAGACTCTAGGGCCTTATTGTAATCCTCCTCATTTCAGTGTTAAACTACTCTAACTTCATTAGCTTCGCTGGAGATACTCCACTTTACACCTACATAATTGAGAGCAGAATCAAGCCTCCACTGCTGCGGAAAATACTGGGTAGTGCAGCACTTTTCAAATAAAATGTAATTAACATGAAATTCTAGATCCATATTGCAATTTGCAGAATGATCACTGTGGGTGCAACATGACTTCCAACTCCCTCTCTCATCTTAATTTAGTTAGAAATAGGGCTGCTTGTGTAATATATTCTGCATAGCAGGAAACAGAGGCATATTTCTTTTTCTTTTCCTATTGTTATTTTTTTCTCTTTATAAATCTTTGTCAACAAAGGATTACTAGCTCACCTGAGAGAGGCAGTTAAAGTCAGATACTTGCCCATAATTAGGGAAACTTGGAATCCTTGACAGTGAACACCTGGCTTCTCATTACTACCTGAATTTTATACTTCCAAGTGTTAATCTCTCCTCAGGGCTTGCCTTGGAGTTACATTCTGGTATTCAATGAAACCATCAGGTTTTCCAGGCACTGACACCTTAGAAATGTTTTCCACATGGGAACCAATATGAAACATGTGTGATTATAACTGATTTCACTGTGTTGATTTCTATTATGGTAGCACCCTGGAAAAATAGTACAGACAGCAGTAATAAAATCTTTCATTGAATAACTTTATACAGCAGGAAGAGTTGTGCTTAAAGGAGGTGGTTTGATGGGGGGGAGGGGTGGGTATTGCTATGATGAATGGTGTTATCATGTTTATAACCTGGTTTAAAGGTTTCTAAGAACTTGCACATTTTTTAGCCTTGAGAATCAAGTTCTACCAGCACTTCTTTCCTCTTAAAAGCCATCACTGCTGCCATTGCTCATAGCTCTAGATGAAATACGTGGGCTAGCTGGAACCTGGAATGCTGATTGTGAACTC